GTCACTATACCAACAAGAACTGGTTGATGTCCAATCATTTCAAGATGTAGCATATGATAGAGAACCAATGATACCAGAGGAAGAAGACCAACGGGCACTGAAGGCACTGGAAACAAGACTCCAGGAACTGATGGAATACAAACTGAAATCTTTTGACAAACTGAAGCAGCACTGGAGGTGCTCACTCATCTATGTCAAGAAATTTGGAAGACCACTACCGGGCTAACCTATTGGAAGAGATCCATATTTGTGCCCATTAGAAAGAAAGCTGACCCAAAGGATTATGGAAATCATCAAACAGTATCATTAATATCACATGTCAGCAAAATTATGCTGAAGATAATTCAAAATCAGTTGCAGCAGTACATTGATAGGGAGCTGCTAGAAATTCAAGCAAGATTCAGAAGAATATGTGAAAATTAGATGTCAGATGGCTCTTGGTTGAAAGCAGAGAATACCAACAAGATGTTTCTGTATGCTTTATTGAATATGCAAAGGAATTCAACTATATGGATCATGACAAATTATGAACAACATTGCAGAATGGATACTCCAGAACACTTACATTGTGCTCATAAAGAACCTGTAAAAAGACCAAGAGACAGTCATTAGCACAGGACAGGGGCATACTGAATAGTCAAAAGAAAGGAAAGGTATGCACCCAGGTTTTAGCCTTTCACCATAGTTATTCAGTTTGTGTGCTCAGCAAATAAAACAAAACAAAACAAAAAAAAGGCATCAGGAGTGGAGAAAGACTCAATAACAACCTCTGATTTGCAGATGACACAAACTTACTTGCTGGAAGCCAAGAGGACTTAAATACTTACTAATAAGGAGCTCTGGTAGCATAGTGGTTACAAATCGGGCTGCAAACCCCAAGGTCAGCAGTTCGAAACTACCACCTGTTCCGCAGGAGAAAGATGAGGCTTTCTACTCCCGTAAAGATTTACAGCCTCGGAAACCCTGTACAGGGCCGCTATGAGTCAGAACTGACTCCACAGCACATAACAACAACAACAACAATGAGAAACAAAGACTACAGCCTCCAGCATGGATTACATCTCAACGTAAAGAAAACAAAAATCCTCACCTGGACCAATAAATGGCATCATGATATGTGGAAAAAAGACTGAAGTTATCAAAGATTTCATTTTGTTTCATCCACACTCAATGCACATAGAAGCAACAGCCAAGAACTCAAACAATGTATTGCATTAGGCAAATCTGCTGCAAAAGTCCTCTTTAAAGTGCTCAAGAGCAAAGAAATCAGTTTGAAGACTAAGGTGTGCCTGACCCGAGCCATGACATTTTAAATCACCTCATATGCATGTGAATGTTGCGCAGTGAATAAGGAAGACCACAAAAGAATTGATGCAGCACTAGAGATAATCACTCATCAATACCAAGACATTCAGAAGAAGCTACCTGACCCACTGATTGGAAGTGATCCATATTTGCGCCCATTGCAAAGATACATGACCCAACAGAATGTGGAAATCACAAAACAATCCAAACAATATCAATATCTCCTGCAAGTAAAATTTTGCTGAAGATAATTATAAAACCACTGCAACAGTGTATCAACAGGGATCCACCAGAAATTCAAGCTGATTCAGAAGAGGACGTAGAACTAGGGATATCATTGGTGACATCAGATGGATCTTGGTTAAAAGCAAAGAATACAAAAAAAAAAAATTTTACTTGAGTTATGGTGTTGGAGGAGAATATTAAAAGTACCATAGACTGCCAGAAGAACAAATAAATCTGTGTTGGAAGAAGCACAGCCTGAATGTTCCTTGGAGGCTAGAAGAGACTCTGAAACTTGTTCTTGAGACTAGAATCTAAAGCAAATGGAAGACATGAGAAAAGATGGACCTTGAAATGTTTTACAAATGATGATTGTGATGCCATTCTTCCTTGCCATTCCAGGCATGATAAACTATATTATTGTCTAATTCAAAATGGCCAATACCAGTTCACTCCACTCATAAACACCTAGGATATTGATCTTTGAGCTTTCTATTTTGTTTTCAATGACTTCCATTTTTCCTAGATTCATACTTTTTACAATACACATTCCAATTATTAATAGATGTTTGCAGTTGTTGTTTTTTTCATTTTGAGTTGTATCCCATCAGGAAATGAAAACTTCACAAGTTTTACTCCATTCACATCATTACGGTCAACTTTGCTTTGAAGAGGTAGCTATTTTCCAATTGCATTTTGAGTGCCTTCCAACCTGAAGGGCTTATTTTCCAGTCAAAATATCAGAAAATGTTCTGCTGCTATTCAGAAGGTTTTAATTGGTCAACTACTCAGAAACAGTCCGCCTTTCCTTCTTCCTAGTCTGTTTGTCTTGATGTTCTACTAAAACTTGTCCACTCTAGTTGACTCTTGTTATTAAGTGCCATCAAGTTGGTTCTGATTCAGAGCAACCCTGATACAGTATCCAAAGGGCAGCTGGTGGGCTTCAGCCACCGAACTACAGCACCACCGTAACAGTAATTTTGTTTGACCCAGCTGGCATTTCAAATCCTGGTGGCATAGTTTTCAGGATCACAGCAACATACAAACCATCACAGTACAACAAACTGACACTGGAGTGGTAGATTTTATGAGTGGTGGTGGTGGTGTGCCGTAGAGTTGGTTCTGACTCATAGCAACCACGTGTAGGGTTTCTAAGGCTATAAATCTTTATGGGAACAGAAAGCATCATCTTTCTCCCGAGGTAGATTAGAACTGCTAACCTTTTGGTCAACAGCTCATTCGTAATCCACTATGCTACCAGAACTCCTTGGGGATTCCATATTTCAACATTTTAAGCTCAATGCAGGTAAACCACTGTATGCATGTGTGTGTGTGTGTGTGTGTGTGCGTGCACATATACCAGGGTATGTCTAAAAGTATCACTACAAAATTATTGTTGTTGTTGTTGTTAGGTGCCATCAAGTCAGCTCCGACTCATAGCAACCTTATGCACAGCAGAACGAAACACTGCCCAGTACTGGGCAAACCTCACTACTTTTGCCACACTTGAGTCCATCAATGCTGCCACTTGGCCAATCCATCTTGTTGGGGGGGCTTCCTCTTTTTCTCTGACCCTCCATCTTACCAAACATGATGTCCTTCTCTAGCAACTGGTCCCTCCTGAAAATATGTCCGATATGAGAGACTAAGTTTGGCCATCTTGGCCTCCAAGGAGCACTCTGGCTGCACTTCTTCCAAAACAGATCTATTGGTTCTTTTGGCAGCCCATGGCACACTTTCAATATTCTCCTCTAGCACCATAACTCAAAAGGATCAATTCTTCTATGGTCTTCCTTATCCACTGTCCAGCTTTTGCATGCATATGAGGTTATTGAAAATATCATGGCTTGGGTCAAGTGCACCTTAGTCCTCAAGCTGACATCTTTGCTCTAGTTTAAAATTAAGAAAGGTGTGCGACAAGGCTATATTCTTTTACCATACTTATTCAACTTGTATGCTGAGCAAAAAAAGCCATCACATTGGTGGTGATGTGCCGTGGAGTCGGTTCCTACTCATAGCGACCCTGCACAGGGTTTCTGAGGCTGTAAATCTTTATGGGAGCAGAAAGCCTCATCTTTCGCCTGTGGAACAGCTAGTAGTTTCAAACTGCTGACCTTGTGCTTCACAGCCCGATTCATAACCACTACCCTATTTGGCCAAATATAGTAGGCTAATTTTCAGGGTGATAATTTTGAATGGCCCATGAATTGTATTATAAATTTTGGCAGAAAAAAAGGTCTTCCCACCCCTGATTTAGTCTTGGAAACCCTATATGGGGTGGCTGTGAGTCGGAACTGACTTGTTGGCAGCGGGGCTTCCAGCTGTATAAAGGAACCCTGGTGGCAGAGCAATGAAAGTAATTGGCTACTAACCAAAAAAGTTGGTGGTTCAAAACCACCAGCCATTCGATGGGAGAAAGATGGGTCAGTCTGCTCCCATAAAGATTTACAGTCTTGCAAACCCTATGAGGCAGTTCTATTCTGTCCTATGGGTCACTAAGAGTGGGAATCACCTCAACACATGGCAATTGGTCTGGTTTGGTTCTGGAATTGTTATAGTTCCCATTTACAGAGAAAACAAAAAAACGTTATCAGTGAGTCATCTTTACTGAGTTTACCCAAGGGAAAAATATTGTCGTTTGGCTGAAATATGAAATGTATAGTGTTTCTGTTCAATAATGCCTTCAGTTCTCTGCAGCATAAATTGGAATCATCTGTTTGGAAAGTCTGTCCACACTGCTTTCAGCCTGCACAGCTGGTGGATTATCACTTTTGTCTAAGTCCTTATACGCGTGCTCCACGTGTGTAGGCACGTTTTAGCGATATACTTAGTTTCACGCAAAACAAAGAGACCGAAGTTAGCATTACTAAACAAGCACCATCACCCACCTACTCCCACACAAAACCAAACAAAACAACAGCCCCAAACCAACAAAAACAAAACCCAGAAGATGGGAAAGACTTTGGGGGTGGTGTTCCATTTAGCCTCAATGTAGAATGTTTAACGGGAGAAACTTATCAGCTTTAGGAGACTGTCAGCACCAGACGCCTTCATGAGAAAGAGAGCAATGAGCATGATGGTGTTCTCAGACAAGTCATCACCTGACAGACATCAGAACGGATGCCAGTTTTCCAGAATCCTTGGCTACTTAGCTCCACGGTTACTTCTCTCCTCATTGTATTCTTCTGTCGTATTTTTTGGAGTGCTTCCTAGAAAAGAACTCATTATGATCAGTAATCTAAGAGCTGTAAAGCAGTTATTAAGCCAGACACCAGGAATTAGAAAATACGTTGGATTCATTCTATAGCATCCTTACACTCAGGTACTCAAACCTCTTCATGCATACTTACACTCTTTTATTTGAAATGAAGGTCAAGATGCCTGAAGCCTTGGATATAAGCGTCCTTCCTGATGATGAGGTAAAAAAAATCGAAACCCAATCTACCATTCTCATGTGTTCAAACAAAATATACCCTTTCATTGACTAAAATAAACAAATGAACAATAACAACAAAAAAAACACAATAATGCCTGCATACCCTGTAATCTACATGCAAAAAATATTGTCATATGAAACCTTATGCTAGGTATTTGTACATCTAAGAAACACAGTCCACACACATTAACTAGCACTCCACAAACTTCTAAAAATGATCTTCTAACTTGCGACCCTTTACAAAAACTCATGAAGAGAAGGTGTATCTTACTACAAAGAAAACAATGCAAAGCTTCTGTGAGACACCATCAAGAAATAACTGTTTCTTTCCCTTTGCACTTTAAACACTGATTATAAAAAGTCATTTTGTATAATTCTGTATTCATTTCAACAAAAATCTCATGTGACTTTTTAGTAATAGGGATTCCTAAGAACACCAACAAGTACTACACTACCACAAAAACCTTCAGCAAGGACTGGATTCCCATGACAGGCCAAATCCACACAGAGAACAGTGAATGGGTCAGAAGCCCACACAACCCCATTCTCCCTGGCTGCACACCAGAGACCGTTTCAGTCGGTCTCCCTCAGCCTTAGCTTCCTTCCAGGTAGAGGCTGGCTGGTTCAAGTCACAGCAAGTGATGAAGCTGTAGATCAAACATTTCTCCTAGCTTCACAATCTTGCTCTAACACCTTTACAGCAGAGGAAAACTTTATGGAGCAAAAATAGATTTTGATGTTCTTAAAACAAAAACTTAAGTGATCCTGGAATGGATAAAAGTGCCCACCAGGAAATATATATGGAATGTGGAATATAAATCCTTACAAAGTAAATTCACCTGATTAAGCTAACGGGCAGGCGGAAGACAATGTTTTCCAACGCTAAAAGCGAGAAATATGAATAGGGCCCATTGTGGTGGTGGTAGTTACATGCCGTGGAGTCGGTTCTGACTCACAGCGACCCTGTACAGAGTTTCCAAGGCTGTAAATCTTTATGGGAGTAGAAAGTCTCATCTTTCTCCCACAGAACAGCTGGTAGTTTCGAACTGCTGAACTTGCGGTTCGCAGCCCAATTTGTAACCACTATGTTACCAGAGCTCCTTACCAGTACTTTAATCATAAAATGATAAAAGGCTGATTTGGAAAGATCTATCTAGGTCCTTAGGGTAGAGAACCAATAAGAAACTGGCTGTATGAACAATGTTTCTTTGCTGTTATTGCGAAGTGCCTTGAGTCCTTTAGAAACTAGAACATTGGGGGAGGTGTGTGGAAAAGAAAGGCAATATAGTAACGGGAGCAATAAGTAAAGTATCGGTTTTGTGTTTGTTTTGTTTTCAACTTTTCATCCCCTGAAATGGGTGAAGGTCTACAGAGCAGATCCATCTTCTATTCAACAATCCTACACATTTTGTTTCATCTCTCTGACTACAATCCTCAAAATGCAACATCACTTAGCCCACTTCCTCCCTGTGTTTTCCCCATTTCCATTTCTCCTCCTTCTGAGCTCTGTCCTCAGGTAAATGCTGCCCTTATGTTCTCAAATGCTTCATTATTCTAAGATGTGCCTACCTCCTTAGTGTCCCCACGAATATATGGCTGAAAGGGGAGCCACAGGAGTGAGAGTTCACTTCCAGACCTAATTTCCGTTTTGTTTTTTAAAGTTTTCCACCTTATTCTAAAAAGGCAGTGCTAATGTGACAATTTTGAAACAAACATGAAACACACCAGGAATTAGGACCTGAATACTCATTACCCAGGACTGGGTCAATACCCACCTCCCTCTGGGCCAGCTTCTGCTTGTCAGTTTGTTTCACTTTGGGACTATTTGCTAGCAGATGTCGGAGTTTCACATAGCTCTTCCACAGCTTCTGGTACCTAAGGAAAAGGACACAGCCAGACAACTTATACCACGAGAAATGAATCTAAAGTCCAATAAACAGAGTCTGTCTGATCATAATTACATGACTTGGAAGATCCTGAATGGCAGCAAACCTTCACTCTAAGTAAGGATATGATTGTGTGGGGTGAATGGGTAGTATGACCAAGAGCCACCTGGAACCTAAGGATTAAGTTATTTTAGTAGAGAATGAGGTAGAAACATACGATGAATCTATTGTTCTAGAAAGAATTCTAAAGAAAGTACACAAAACCACGTTCACCAATGGAAACGTGCACCCTTTCTCATTGTGATTTCTTTGGAAGTGACAACTTTTATTTATACCGTGGATTTTCTGATGTTTGTGGAGAAAAAATTACTAACTTACTAGAGATAATGGTCATCTCTAAGGTGCCCTGGTGTCACAGTGGTTAAAGTACTTGGCTACTAACCAAAAAGGTGGTGATTCCAACCCATCAGCCAGATTGTCAGAGAAAGCTGTGCCTGTCTGCTTCCATACAGATTTAGGGCCTTGGAAATCCCCTGGAGCAGTTCACCCCTGTCCTACACGGAGGGGCACTGTATGTCAGAGTAGACTCAATGGCAGTGGGTTTGGATTTGGGGTTTTATTCCGTTCTGAACTGCCTACAAGAGATCCTGGATAATGAAGAGCAAATGCAGTTCTTTCTCAATTCACAGTCCTGCCATCTGAGTATCCACAAGTGCCTCATCACATTCTACTAACAATCTGCTGACAAAGAGCATTTTTAAAAAGATTTGGTAGCCTATTGGAACTGCTGCTTTCTTGGCCGTGGTTCAGGCCTCTCCTTTGGGATAACAACTTTTTTTAGAGAATGGAGGAAAGAAAGACATACTTACACAGTGCCTGGTTCATTGCTTCATACTTTTATCCAAAGGGGGGAAAAAAAGAACAAAACCCTTTAGCCTCTTCTAACATATGTCAGCCAAAATGGTATTTATGAATTGAAAATCTCCCATGCCCTTTTCTCCCATTATGACTCCTTTTTAAAAAAAGTATTAAGTCAAGAAACTACTGGGTGTTTTGGTGTGCATGTTTACCAAGGTAGGAAGTTCAAACACTCCAGAAGAGAATAATGATGGACTTCCAGTCCCTTACACCCTCATCTTCTCTCAGAAAAGCACCAAGATGCTACATGGGAAAACCCCAACGTTTACAGTAACAACATCAATCCTAAGAGTCAGAAGCCCCAGCGTCTCTTTCTAACACAACATTGACACATGACACATGATCTTGAGCTCTTGCTCAGATGCCAACAAAATCAAGCTCTGCAGGAAACTCTGCAGTGCTAGGCACTAACTTGGTGCTACTGTCCAATAGAGGGCACCGGAAACATAAATAATACTAATAACAGTCATTAGTGTAACCACGGCAAATATAGAAAAAGGTCCTGAAAACTCAAAACCATACAGGACTCATGTTTATAGAATAAAATCTATTGTAGTCAAATATTTAGAGAAAATCATTCTTTAGAAGTTACCAAAACTTTGCTTCATTCGGGAACAGAGCTCGTGACATGTCTGAATTTTTAAAAAGAAAAACCATTCGCTAAAGGGTATTTATTTGCCTGCTAATTCAGCTGTTAGTAGAAGGTGAAAGTGGCTGAGACAAACACCAAAAATGTCTTACTGTGGATCTCCTGCATAACTCAACTGTGCAGGGCGAATCCCAAAGTGGACGATAATCGGAAAAGTAATCACATCCGGGTTGAACTGTTCACGATCCAGTTGATCAATACGGACAGAATTTGGTTTCTAGAGAGAAAAATCAAAGGCATTTATTCCCATAAGAAGTCTTTAAACATTAACTTTAACCTAAGTAGAGAAGAAATTCATTGGATTTTTTTTTTTTTTTTTTGTAGGAAAGCCTCATCCCTGAAGGGATAAATGTCATTTAAAACTATTTCATGATAGCAGCTATATGATATAAAAACCATAATGTCACTCCTGTAAATGAATCTGTGCCATTTGGCATAATGAACAATGGTTTTGTCCTTTTTTACAGTCCACACAGAAACCTTTAAAAATTCAACTTCAAAAAGGGCACCAGCCAGATAAAACCTTTCCTTAACCTCTCCACAGCACAGGGAAAGGGTTCCACATCATGGAATACACTGCTTTATTCTGCTTCAAGTTTCACAGTTCAAATGGGCAACATTTGCTTGAGAAGCCCAGATGTGTTTATACAATTTTTTTGTTTTCTCACCATTGTTGTTATGTGCCTTAGAGTAGGTTCCGACTCATAGTGACCCTGTACAGGGTTTCAGAGGCTGTCAATCTTTACAAGAGCAGAAAGCCTCATTTTTCTCCCATGGAACAGCTGGTAGTTTCGAACTGCTGACGCTGAGGATAGCAGCCTGATTCGTAACCACTACGCTACAGTTTATCATGTGTATTCCATTTATTCTAATTAAAACCCATGGAAATAAAAGGCCAGATACGATGAAATCTGTGAGAGATATACACTGACTGGACCACCTTGTTTTTCCTGGGCTTTTAAGTTTTCCACATTTGACAGGTTCATTCTATGACTCTCAACTAATGGAAAACATTTGAGTTTTCATTCTCTGACAAGTTTCTGCCTTACACAGGTTTGGGCTTCTGTGTGGATTTATTTTTTTTGTAATTAACCTTCTCTTATTATGTCCATGTAGGATATTTTTGTAAGGAGCTCTGGTAGCATAGTGGTTATAAGTCCGGCTGCTAACCTGAAGGTCAGCAGTTTGAAACTACCAGCCGTTCCACAGGAGAAAGATGAGGCTTTCTGCTCCTGTAAAGATTTACAGCCTCGGAAACCTTAGACAGGGTTGCTACGGTCAAAACCGACTCCATGGCACACAATCAGCACCACCAGGACATTTTTGATAACATCTGATGTTAGGGGTCTTTGAGTCGGTTACAACACACAGTGATCTTATACACAACAAAACCAGAGACTACTCAATCTTGCATCATCTTCACAGTCACTGCTGGAGCCCACTGTTGCAGCCACTGTAGTAGTTCTTCTCATTGAAGGTCTCCCTCCTTTTCACTGGTCTACTACTTCATCAAACATGATGTCCTTCTCTGGGGACTGATCCCATGTCAAAAGTACATAAGACAAACTCTAATAATCCTCCTTTTCAAGGACTACTCTGGCTGTACATCTTCAGAGACGTATTTGTTTGTTCTTGCTGTCCACAGCATTTTCATGGTTCTTCACCAATACCATACTTCAAGGGTATCAATGCTTCATCAGGCTTCCTTATTCATTGTCCAACATCCACACGAAAATACCATGACTCGGGCCAGGCACACCTTAGTTCTCAAAGTGACATTTTTTTTATTTTTAACACTTTAAAGAAGTCTTTTGTAGTAGATTTGCCAAATGTAATACATGGCCCAGTTTCTTATTTCTGCATCTATTGATTGTTTGAGACCAAGGAAAATAAAATTGTTAACAACGTCAATCTTTTTTCTATTTATCATGATGTAGCTTATTGGTCCAGTTACAAGGATTTTGTTTTCTTTCTGTTAAGGTGTAATCCATACTAAAGACTGTGTAGTCTTGGTTGTTCATCAGTAAGTGCCTCAAGTCCATTTGGCTTTCAGCAAACAAGGCTGCGTCATCTTCATTCACAGGTTGATACTGAGGTTTCATCCAGTCCTGATGCTGTGCTTTCTGCATATACTCCATCTTCTTGGATTCTTTGTACAGCATGCAGACTGAATAAATTGGTAAAAGGTTACAAACCTGATATACACACCTTTTCTGATATGAAACCATGCAGCCTCATATCCATGCAGCCTCCGCTTGTTATTTTCAAACAATTGTTTCTTGGTCCCATTCTTCACATTTTCCATAGTGTGTTATGATCAAATAAACCTTTACATAGTGAAACATCTTTCTGGTATACTCTTTCAGTCAAGATCCATCTGACATGAATAATGATGTCCCTCATTCCACATCCTCTGAACCCAGCCTATTTCTGGCAGCTCCCTGTTCAAATACTGCTGCAATCATTTTTCAATTATCTTCAGCAAAATTTTACTTGCAGGTGAACTCAATGATACTATTCAATGATTTCCACATTCATTGAAATGGTCACAAATATGCATCTTTTCCAGTCAGTCAGCCAGATAGATATCATCCAAATTTCTTAGCATAGATGAGTGAGCCCTTTCAACATTGCATCCATTTCTTGAAACATCTCATTTGGTATCAGTTGAAACATCTCAGTTCCATCAATTCTTAGAGCCAATTTTTGTCAATGTCTTTAGTAAACCTTGGACATCATGATCACATACTATCTCCTGAAATGGTTACACATCAACTAACTCTTGTTGGTACTGTGAGTCTGTGTATAACTTTCATCTTCATTCAGTATTTTGCCCAATGAATCCATCAATATGGCAATTCAAGGCTTGAAGTTTTCCTTCAGAATAATAAATGCCCACCCAGTGTGTTCCTCCCTTTTGGTCTTTGAACTCCAAGTTTGGCACATTTCACTTTAATATTTTACGATAGTTTCTCAAGACACATTACAATGTTTTACTCTGTCTTTTGTACAACTCTTTAATGTCATAATTTTTCTCTTCACTTTACCGACTCTACACGTGAAAGTAACTTTAAGAGTCTAGCATTCACTGTTTTTAAGTGATCTTTTGCTTTCTCCTGAACCCCAACAAGCAGAGTGTGGATGGTGGCCTAGTAAGCCTGAGAGGGGTTTCCCTACTGAAACCTCAAAGTCCCCCACTAGTTGGAATCAATCCTGCATGATCAGCCTACCCACAGTTGTAACCCCAATCAGCCATATGACAAATCCAACTAGGTGACAAACAGGCTGTGTGGAAACACAGCCATATTAATTAAAACACAGCACAAGGTAAAGTTTTTGAAGAACATTTAAAAATTTCCAATTATAATGAGGTTGACCTCTGTCTTCAAACTTAATAACTGGAAAAAAATTTGGTCAATGGTAACCTAATATAAAATTATTTCAATGCCCTTCAACAATAAAGTTATTTAGCTTTAAGAACTTTTTATTTTACTCATCAACTTTAAAACTCATCATTTTTAAAAGAATTACACTAGAAGATTGTTATTAAATTGTTCATGCTTTCATTGATGTTCAACATCCTGCTATGGTATCATTAAAGGAAAGGGTGATTTAAATAACCTATGCAATCCTGGTATGTGCTGTAGGATAATCACTGGAATGCTAACCTCAAGGTTGGCAGTTCAAACCCACCAGCCACTCCTCGGAAACCCTGTACACCTATGTACACACCATAAGTCAGAACTGACTTGACAGTACTGGACAGTAATGCTGTTGTTGATAGGTGTGAGTCAGTCAGCTGTGACTCAGAGTGACCTCACGCACAACAGGACAAAGCACCGCCTGCCCTGCGCCATCCTCACAACTGATGCTCTTTGAGCCCATTATTGCAGCCACTGTGTCAATCCATGTCACTGGGGGTCTTGGTTTTCCGCTGAACTTTTACTCAGCTCTTAAACACTTTACAGAGGTCTTCTGCAGCAGATTTGTCCAGTGCATTCATAGATAACTGTGGTCAAATCAACTTCAACTCAGGGCAACCACACATACAACAAAACAAAACATTGCCCAGAATCACTGGATGTTCGAGCTCACGGATGCAGCTCAAAGATACAGGGTCTTCCTCATCCTTGCTGGCCTTAATTCACTAAGCCCAATGTCCTCCTCCAGGGACTGATGCCTCTTACTGATGTGTTCAAAGCAAGTGACCCTGAAAATGCTCTGCTGTGATCCATAAGGCTTTCAGCAGCTAGTGCTTGGCAGTACATCATAATCATCAGTCCTTCTTTCTAGCCTGTCTTAGCCTGGAAGCTTGGCTGAAACCTGTCCACCGTGGGTGAGCAGAATGGTATTTGAAATACCAATGGCATAGCTTCCAGCATCATAGCAACACCCAAGCCATCAGTCTGACAAATGGACAGATGAGTAGCAGATAATATCTATAGAGGGAGGGAGGGAATTGAGAAAGTTCTAGTCTTTGAACACACTCTATAACATTAGATCATTATTGTTTAAGAATAAAAAACTTTGTTAATTAAAAAGGTAATACTTGGCTGAAGCAAGTGCTTTAAGAAGGGAGGTTAATTCTTCTAAATTCTATAACAATGAAGCATTTGTTGTTGTTGTTAGGTGCCATCGAGTCGGTACCGACTCACAGCAACACTATGCACGGCAGAACGAGACACTGCCCAATCCTGAGCCAACCTCACTACTACTGTTGCCACACTTGAGATCATCGATGCTGACACTTGGCCAATCCATCTCGTTGGGGGTCTTCCTCTTTCTCTCTGACTCTCAACTTACCAAACATGATATCCTTCTCCAGTGACTGGTCCTTCTGGACTGAACTGGTCCCAAATCTACCTCACCTAATGTTCACTATTTGCATCCTCTCATCCTGCCTAATCTGCTTTCCTCAAAGCTGGCTTCTTAGCATCTTAACTGTATCCTCTTAGTCCTGACAATACTTAAATATCTGACCTCCTCCATGGAGCATCTCTGCCAAAGCATGGCCAAGTGAGCTTTCCTACATCTAAAACCACAGGCTTTACTGGTAGGACAACTGATTCAAGAATTCCCCGCTGACTCCTTTCACTTACTGTGTATTTTCATTATGGCAAGTATCATATATAGAATATAGGTTTCACCGGTACCTGGCATACATAAGTCAATCAAAGAACAGGAGTTAAATGGTGATCATGGTGATGGGTAAATGTC